CTCTGCGGGAAAGGGTCTGCACACCTGATCGGTGAATCACTTCCTAAACTTCCTAAGGTATTGCAACGAGTGAACAAGGGTGAAACCATTCCAGTTTTGGTCACCTCGACCTACTGATTTGAAAACTGCAATGCTTGAGGAGCAGACCAAACGTCTTGGGATCGTGGTAGTAACTGTAGCTGTCTTATCTAGAGGTGTAGGCTGATTATGACGGTTTTACTAGTGATGTTATTAACCATTGCCTTGGTCTCCTGCCTTGGTCTGCTCTCCTGCAGCAAGTGTCCCCACTACTTCTGTGCGTGGTGGGCCAAATCAAGGAACAAAGGTGCAAAAAAAACAAGAGTCCTTCCACAAAAATCCCTCCAAACTTATAGGGTAGTGTTACTCCCAAGAGGCCATGCAAGCACCATTACTGCTAAAGACAAGCCTAGAAGTAGAGGGAAAGGTGTTTTCCCCCCTTTTGGGAGCAGCAAGCCAAGAGAAGGGCTTAAATGTCTCGTGGAACAGCAACCTCCACCCACTACTGCCTATTTATCAGCCCAAACCAAGCAGAGGCTGTTCACCTAGAGAAGCTCATAGGATGTAACGAGCTCCCCTCCACAACAGAGGCTTCCCTAGGCCAAGCTGTTATTCTGTATCAGCCTCCCAAGTGAAGATTGAAGAGCTGGTAATAATACCGTGCCAAAGTTTAACTTGAAATGGCTATGATTAGAAACCTGACACAGAAAAGCATAAAAACACTTATTAATCGTACACAGAGTAGTAGCTGAAATATTGTAGTTTTAACTATTACTAGAAAGATGCACAGAAAAAATCTTTATGTTTTCAGATGACCCAGAGCACATCAGCCAGAGCAAGCAGACACCAGGCCGTAACACAACCCAACTCTATCTGTTCCTTTGGGTATTCAAAAAACGTTTTAAAAAAGGCACTTTATGGCCCTGCAGCAGTGAACGTTTCCATGCACGTTCGGGTTAAATTGGTAAAGCTCCGGAGCCACTTAAAAATACTTCTGAAAGCACCTCTATTGCAGCATTTATCACAGAGCCAGGGACAGATAATGCCACGGAGGTGAAAACAATGTTCTCATAGACAGCTAAGGGGCCGACAAGTATTTTGTCACTTTTCTGCGGTGGCAACTGCTTTGGCGAAGGACACCTCGGAGAGAGAAGGGTTCAAGGAAAGGCGTTTCGAGTTTGGGGTTAAACCAGCGCGCCCCAGCTCTTCGGGGACACTTGGGGACACGAGGACCGGCCCGAGTGGATGTCGCGCTGCGAAACAGCGGGAGGCGCCGCCACCGGT